GACTTTATATATATATATATATAAACATTTTAAAACCAGACTTGAATATTAATGTTTAACCGCATTGTAAAGTTTGCAAAATATAATTATGCCCCTTTTATATTATGACGTCATCAACAGATAACATGTTGTGACGCCACACCATGATCTAATACAGTGAAAGCGCTAGTGCAAAATGTAACGTCTTTCTTCTTTTGTCAAAAATCATTTTTATTTATATATATATCGGTCTGGAGTCGAATCAATACCTATATAAAAAAATATAGTACGTCAGAATAATTCAGACTAATAAGAAGACAGGACAAAAACAAACAAAATAAAATCCTGACCGTACGTGTCCTGCCATACCTACCTATTACAGTATCACAGTCCATGTATCACATTCGTCACGAAATTGTTTACAAATATTGTAGCATGTATTGGGTTTTGACTCTTTCATTTGGGTTATAAGATATAACAATACACTCATTCTCATGTTTGGGGGTTTGTTCATCAAATACCGGAAATGTAAACGAAAATTGATGTTGTGTTTATCTATTTAAACCGGATATAGTAAAATTCTAAGACATAATTATACTGTTAATTGAGACAGTAAATAAAACACGGATAATTAGCATTGACACGATTCACATTTCTTTATGAATGAAATGAAATAGTAATATCGTCAATTCCTTTATCTGTACAATTTCCTGTAAGTTCCGAGTACAAACAAATTTCTTTAATTTGTACTTTTAAATCCACGATGTGGTTTTAAAGAAATTATAACTGTACCAAATGATACACTCAAATGAAATTCATTCATCAACTTCAGTCGTGTGAAATTAGCGTTACCTCGCCCTGCTTGAATATCAGCTGTCAACGAGAAACATGATATTGACATAGGGAAACAAACACCGGTCTGATTAGTGAAGTACATTACTTACTGCCCTCGTAGTTCCGGGGTCACCACCACAATAGAACATCGATCCTTAACACGTCAGTGCAACAGTTACATATGTTCAATTTAATGAAGAAAAAAAAAATTTTAAAAGGAAAACACAGCTGAATGTTTGCACGAAAATCCGTGATGTACATGTATCCGTCCTTTTTAATCACGTCAACTTGCCAAATAAAAAAATGTCACCAGGTGCCAGTGTTAACCTTAACACAATTGAGAAAATCAGCAATTTGGGTTTTTGTCTGTATATTCGTGGTAGAGTTACAATTAAGAATGTTGAAAAATTAATCTCAGTCTATAATTTTGCAAAAGTTTGTTTGGTTGAAAGGAATCTACCAATTTTCAGATTGGGATCCACATGTAACGTCATAGTAACATTCAACCTGGACGTCAGTCACACAATAATGTATAGAACTTGTCCAAATATTGGTTTTAAATTGTTGAAATTCGAAACTGAGAAAGAACACTCACAGCTTAATCGGATGATATATTCTAAACATATATATGAGCGAGTGAGACAGACACTCGCTGATATCATACGTGTTGTGAATTGACGATCAGGGTAATCACATTTTGTTTAATTCGTTGCATCTCACGAGCAAGTATGATCTTAAGAGACACGTACCTGTTTTCCAAAACAGAGAAGAATAATGTTTAACTTCACAAACGTAGCTTAGCCATACAAAACAGAAAAAATAAGGGATTATGAACAGGTTACAGATATTGACTGAACCGCAATTCATTTCATGTATATATAGAAGACTGTTTTCTTCTAATCTGTCGGCTTTATTCACACTTAAGAACGCTGTATAGACACGTTATCACAGGCTTTCATCCTTTGAAGCATTTGAACTAATGACTACAATTTGTACATAAATTGAATTGAATTTGTTTAGAACTGTTATTTCAGAAGATTACAAACGTAAAATTTGCAACGGAAATAAATTGATAAAAACCACAGACTAAAACAAAAACTACAAACTACACAAAAAACCTCAAGAGGGTATCGTAATTCAGCAGACCTTAACGGACTTTGCACGTCCGACTTTTTAACGGAGATTAGGACAAACAGAAAACTACGTTTGGGAACTTTGTTCATGAGAAACCCAGGCTTGCCAGGAAAATCACACTTGACTTCATTTTGAAGACGTGTTGGAATTCTTCGATTGTATTCTATATATACAACACGAAAAAATCTTAGACGCGGTGTTTCAAACCATTCATTTCAAAATACCCCACTTTAAGATTACTAACGGAATCAGACAGTAATGTCGGGTATTACATTTTGTAAATTGTGACAATCAAATTCGGTTTCCACACTTGTTCAACTAATTGTTTTAACTATGTTTAGCTGATATCATTGTGTATCATGAGAAAGGTAACGTATATTGAACGTATGTGAAACAGATTCACTACACCAGAACCCATTAGCTTCAAGATCTCCACATATTTCAGTTTTATTTTCCTTTTAATTTTTTTGCGAAAATATTGCTTCGTAGCTGGTTATTTTAAATGTGAATACCTTTCGATAGGTTGCTTTTATAGGTTGCATTGAATTTTAAGTGAATCAGCACCGTTTATGCTAATGACGCTACACCTACATAGATGATTTCACGAGACCAACATGAGAAAATTACTTAAGGGAGTATGGTGGGCGAGAGTCTGTCTCAAAAGGAGACAATTAAAACGTCACTGTGTCCAAATTGTACAACATATTTAAATGAATTATTTGAATATGCATTTTGGATTTTACTCTATATTTCCGGTCTTCGCTTGATCAAAGACTAAATATTATAAAAAAAGTAATACACAAGGACTAGAAAGGTTAGTTTTTAATTTGCAAGTGAAAAGAACAGTAGATGTATGTATTACCTTTTCTTTTTCTACTAAACTTTTTTAAAAATTGTTATTGAATTGTACGAAAATATTAAAATGAACTTTTTTATATTTCATTTAATTACACGTGACCAGCTACTATCAGATAATTAAATCCAGGATGAGCCTTTGTAACGATTACATATAATTCGTGGAAAATGTAAACGCACACTGAAAGCGTCAACTTACACTGTAATACAGGTTATATTAAAGTATAAAAACAATGCATACAAACTTCGCTTCCCCAGTAAGAGATCACACTTGTGTAATGTATACTATTTGTGTGTGTGTGTGTGTGTGTGTGTGTGTGTGTGTGTGTGTGTGTGTGTGTGTGTGTGTGTGTGTGTGTGTGTGTGTGTGTGTGTGTGTGTGTGTGTGTGTGTGTGTGTGTGTGTGTGTGTGTTGATTTTTATACTTGATGTGAAAAATGTAAAATAGTTGTAGTAACATGCATTACTAGCATGTAAAAATATCAACTTTGTAATGTATGTTAGTGTTTGAAAACAATACGATACTATCAGCGATACAGATCATTCTGTCATATTGATTACATGTCCTTATGACACAGCCAGTAAGAGGATTTTGTTAACTACTATTACCTTTGTCAGACTAATGACCGGTGTGACGTGTTTCTCAGATTTCTGAAAATTACAAACCGAGACTGTCCACATGCCTCAAGTCCATGGTCCTTCCGCATGGTTTTGAGTCAGACAACCATGGTTGAGGTAGACGTGAGATGAGAAATCAAAACATAACGTTACCGTTGTCTCAATGGTGAATCAAATATGAAACGATTTTATAAAAAGATGTTTTTTTTTCTCATTTGCATGCAATGTTCATGTTATATAAAGGGTTTTCATGGGAGTTTCCCAATATCACTGCCAGTTTTTTTATTTATGTAAATGACAAATTAATATTTTATCTAAATACTCCTTGATAATCCAGCGGTCGCAATCACCATGCTCCCGATCTATACTTCTGGAACGTTCCATGACATATAGAAGCGACAAAAGCGAAGTAATTTTAATGGTCTGCAACAGGAGAATTATGACCAATTGCAGACAGATACACTCCTTTGAAGATTAGAACGACGAGAACTTCAAAGTCAGTATAACCAGAGACATATATATACGTCTCTGGTATAACATACCGTTATGCGAACATAAGATTTGTTTGGTGTACATCACAGGATTAAACTAGTATTTTCGTCTTGTCCACAAAGTAACGCACATGGAACCTTCATTTTTTTCTAATGTAAGATACACTATACTATCATCAACATCTTAAATACCATCGAAAGAAAAATCACAGGCGATGCAACACCATGAACAGACCAACCGTTAATGTCAACATTAAATGAAAGTTCATACAAGTTCTGTGCAAGCCATTTTTTTTCTAATTACTAATTTTCAATCAACACCTCCAACGGTTGTATCTCCATGTCTATAAACCAATATTTATTTTTTTTCTTCAGGTCAGTAGGTCAGCCTCGGCTGGAACATATAAATGTCATTCTCGGTCCCATCGGCTGTCAAGCTTATCGCCAGTGAAACGAACGGCGGTGATTCTGGGGTTTCAGAGTGATAATTCTTTGCTTTCACGACAGATGTGATCGAACCTGACTTGAAAACAGCCGTTGTTTGCAAACTCAACTTGTAGAATTACTTAGTATTTTACTCGGCCTGTGAACTACAGCGATGTTTTTTTTATTTGCGATAATTGTTGTCCACGCGACGTTGATGTGGCTTTTGTAATATATGCGGTCAGTAATGAGGTAGCTTGTCAATTTTTCGCTTACTGATTTTAATATCACTTCGATGTCTACATGTACAAGAGGTCATACATTATAAAAAATGTATATATTTGTATAATTGTGCACTTTCACGTGTTAAATGATATATTGTGATTGAAATATCATTAGCTTTGTTTTGCCTCTTTCTTAAATAAATTTACTCATAAATATCAGAAGTCTGCACACACCACGACAGTAATGCTGTCATTGCATTGGCATTTTTCAGCTTTTTCACGTGTTGTTCTGTACGACGGGGTTTCCCCAATATAACGTCATAATCTATTTTAAGAAATGACAGGACTTCCTATAAAATCGCAGTCATCAAAGTGCTTCTGCTAAAGATTGCGAAGCGTGGTCCTGTTAGAGCGTCTAGCGTACGCCGATCAACAGAATAGTCACAAATGTCTGACATATCTTCCTTTATAGAAATGTGAATTTATCAATGTCGTTGTGTATTATGATTTAGGAATGCAGTTTTTCAGATGGGAACGATAACCTGTTAGTTCACATAAGGCAATTGTCTATAGTTTTCGCTAATCTTTTTATCTGGAATTACACATTATTTTTGGCACTTTAATATCAGGTTCTACGAAAGATAAGTACAATGTCAACAAACTACGAATCCTACCTGAAAACATCTTTATCAAAGGTGAGTTTATATCTCAATATTACGAAAATGTTTGTTCGTGGGTATATTGGCGTTACTATCTTATTACATTTGGAAACTGAAATATGATTATAAGAAATGAACACAACCGATGTATGAGCCAGTGCAGGCCAGCAAGAATTTGAATAGCTTCACTGATGAAGTAAAAAGAAAACTGCACTAAGACGAAGACACAGGTGAATTCCAAATCTGCTGATGATTTCTTTGGCAACTAACCATTCTCATTCCAGCTTTCATGGTTACTCACTGACTGTGAAACACTTCATTTTCGTCTTTTTTCCCCAATACAAAATACAAAACAGGTCGGGGACAACCACAAATTTCCATAAAATGTACTTAGGCAAACTGACCTATCATATTCATTAGCCAATTGTGGTACCGGTTTGTTACTAAAAATAGATGAAATAATTTGAACAGTAACTTGTAACTAATAATATATCATTGAAATTCACATCAATTCATGTCAAGGTTAATAGTTTGTTTCTATAAATAATCTGAAATAGGCACTGCCTAAAAGTGAGCGCAGGTTAGCGAAAAGGATGCACATTTTGAACAGCCTGATCCATGTCTGCACTGAGTGTGTTTTTTAAAATTTGTTGTGTATTTTTAACAAAACATCAGCACATACAAATGTACCAATATATCAGCAGCAGCAGCAACATGTCTTCTTCTTCTTCTAGAAAACAGTGTATTACCGTGATCAGGCAGTGATTTGGTGGCACAGTTGTAACACACTTGTCTTTCACCTAGCCATTTGGGGTTCGATTTCCCGAAGGGATACAGATTTCCTCCCAAAGTTAGAACCTTCTCATGCTTACAACAAGTGTGATTTTTATAAGTTGAAATAAGAAAGTTTCCATATGAATCATACAAGGCAGACAAAAAAGAACAAAACAAAAGACAACAAGATAATGCAAAACATGGCATTTTCCCTTTGCCCAGCTGTTTAAAAGAAAGGCACACAATCATATATATATATATATATGTTAATATTACTACAAGTTCATTTTTTATTTGTTATTTCTAATTGTTCCATACAAAGTATTGAAATTGAGAACTTCTGCTAGAGTACTAGCTTGATGCCTGTACAAAGCTTTGAGCGAATGGTTTAAGAGAACTGATCTGAAAAAAAACTGAACTTTGTGATTTGGCCTATCTGTTTCCATGGTAACATAAAAAGTATTTAAATGGAGAACTTTCCCATAGCAAAAGATACTACTAGCTTAATAAGTGTAAAAAGTTTTGAACAATTACCTTGTCAGAGTATTGGCTCAGAAAAACTGAAATTTGTGATGGTTATCGGTTTCAATGGTAGCAATAAATGTATTAGTAAAGTCTTTGACAACATATCTAGGCTATAAAAATTGATAAAAAGATCTTCAAAATAAATGCACAAGAGTTTCCCTTTTAGAGTTACAGATATTGCAGAGAGGACTATCTGTTGTCTTTGCTTTAAAAAAGAAAGGATTTTGTAGTTAAAATATGGTGAAAGACAATGTATTATAGTTTTAGTCAGATTTATAAAGGCAGTGCTTAGATGTTTAACAAGTTTTCATTATTAAAATCAGAATGAGAGTTTTTGTTCTGTTAATTAACAAATCATAAAATACTTTAGAACCTTCAGTTTTTTAAGCAAAAAGAGGGTAAAGTTATAAACTCTGTTGAGACTATTGTGTTATACATTGTAATTCAGAAAATCAATATAAATGTAAATGTTTAAATAAAATTCTAATCAAAGTCACAATATATTACATAAGCTACATTTTTCTGGTACCCCTCACCCCCCACCACCATCAAAATAAACAACCAAAAAAACAGAAAAGAACCTCACCAGTAATAGTTATCCTATCATTGTGCCTTATAAGTGTTTGTTGGAAAATTTCTAAACATTCAAATACTTGATCATAATTGATTTCAAACAGTTATCAAAAAGACATCCATATCTTGCAGAATTAATATAGTTAAGAAACGGAACAGGTTTTTCCCCAAATCGGGACCTTTCGACTGCTTCCGCGTAAGAGATGATGTCTAACGGAAAGTGACGAAAGTTCCCGAAGGTTAACCTGGAAATCAGGTACATCGGAGAACAAACGTGCTCTGATATTGAATGGTCAAAATTGTAACTTTTCAACGAGATGTTTGTGATATGTTTTTCAAACCATTAAAGTATATGTTTGTTAAATACATTTGAATTATTTAAGACTTTTAGTATGATTTCACTTCCACATGGAAGCTTAAAAAGACATTTTGTCGGTCGAAATCATTTTAATCCATTCAACGGATCAGCAGTTTTCATTGCGTGCTGCAGTAAGTGTATTGTGGATAATGAAGTTCCAGTCACACTTCCGTTTAAAGTTGATCATATTGGCAAGATGAATTATCACACACACACAATCAGGGTTTTCCATAAGAGCCGGTTGCCGGCCAATTTGACCGGCTACTTTGATCATTTGGCCGCCTACACCAATCCAGTTCCGTAATAATGTTCCGTACACGACTACACGTACACGGCAGGCCAGCCTCCTACTTTCACTACACAGCCCACTACTAGCAAAATTATGGAAAACCCTGCACAATTCCATAAAGAGCTTGCTATCATACTGGAAGTGCTTGCTACCTACAGAAACCAGGTGTTATGGTCACAGCTATGTTGATCTATTGTAACACTAGCCATATGAAGTACTTTATCTATCGGCTGTATTTTGTTTTTTTCAGTTGTATTATGTTTTATGACAAAGTAAATGAGACTTATGCAAAAAAAAAATGTGAAAAAGCTAAATTATGTGATATCAGTTTGTGTATTATCTCAAATATGTGGTTTTCCTTGACCTGCAGAAGCTGGTTTGTACCAGTCACTGCAATTTTTCTCATTCTGAATTGATGTTCCTTTTAAACATGGACAGTTAGTGAGAAAAGTTGATGCCCACTAAAGACATCAACACCCAAGGTAGCGTTAAATGATTTTAAGTTATATACATTTTTAAAAAAAGGACTAATGCCCATATTCAGACATTGTGGATGTCTAGATAGCATGCTTAACAACATGAAAATTAAAGGTTAAAAGAAAGCTATAGATAAAAAAAGGTGGAATTACCATACAATAATATTGCATGCATACCATGTACACAGTAGTTATATATGTTAATTTATTCCACAAGCATGTAAGGTTTACATATTTAAAAGATAGAAAAAATAATTCACTTCAGGTCCAAAATAAAACAATAAAGAAGCTGTAAACTATATATGATAACAAAATGCGTACATCACAGGCTTTGTGCTTGGTATTTTTATAAATTGGATTCAATTTCTTTGCTTCAAAAGGCTATAGAGGCAGATAAGGTTATACAAAAACTCAATGCTATTTATCTTGTTACTCTAAGGTAGGATATATTATGCATTTGATGCAATGTAATTTTTAAAAGTAAAAAGATATTTAACATACCAGTAAGTTGCTTTGGTATTATTGAAAGTATTGAATCAAAATTTTAACAGAATTATGTCAAGATTTTTCTAATTATAATTTTGCGAAGATGTATAATTCTTAATTCTTTTAATTTCAGTATAAATATGCAGACATCGCCAAAAGAGATGTACTTAATGTATTTCAACAATTCAAAGACCTTCGACCTGCGTACGATTCATACAGTAAGCTCTCGCCTACCATTACCATATGTTGTGTACATGTATACTGTATATAGTTACACGTTGTAATGTTCGCAGGGGTTTTAATTCTCAACAATTAAAGATAACATTAAAAATGAAATACCCAGTAATTATTTATACAGTAAAGAAAACAAATTTGGAAAATGTACATGTTTTAATTCATTCTTGTATTGAAAACAATCTAAAGATGTGCTTAGAATCTAATACCTGTGATTTTTTCCAACCTAGCTGGGACATCTGCAAAATATTAGCCCCACAATATTGAACACCTTTGGGTATGCAGTTTATATTTGCATTCCCAGAGAATATGTTTTAGGGTTGTTGGAGTGGTCTCCAGACTCATCAGATTCTTGAAATCCAATGGTCAAATATTCATTCCTGTTAACAGATGATCAGATAAATACATAGTATCGATTTTGATCATATTTTGCTCTTTGACTTTAAACAAGATTGTTTTATTTAAATCTAGGTAGATTGTTATCTATTATGTAGATATGTAGTTGTGATATTTAGAATATACATACATTGTGTACTTTGTTGAAAAAAAACACAGCTATCTTACCCTATGTCTGACTGGCAAATGATATACTAGCACCACCATGATTTTTGATAATTTGTCAAAACAACTGTTATTTCATGAATTTTAATTCCTGGATTCAGAAAATTGTAAAGGTTTTGTTATTAGGAATGGAACCCATAGCTGACCCTGAATCCTGCATAAAAAATATTCTGCAATATGATGTAATGTAATAGATATACTGAGTGGTCCAATGAATTATAGTTAATGGTCAGATGATGTATTGTGGGGAGACATAAATCCAAGTTGGTTTACTAATATCTTAGAGTTTCACAGATTTCTTAAAATGTCCTGAAAAAGACTTCCTGTTTTGCAAAAGATTGAAATGTCACATATTTTGCAACAGTTTTAATACACAAGTTTATTTTGTGCCCCTAGTTGAAGTAATTTAAGATTCAAAAATAAATTAATGTTATCAATATTATATTTTATGACCAACAATCAATTGTATGGATTCATTTCATATTTTGTTTATGTATTTTCTTCTCCTTTTTTAGTTTTCAATGATGGGTCTAAAAAGGAATTGTTGAATTTGGATGGAACTATTCCTGTATCTTACAGAAGTAAGTAAAAGGGTGATCTAGGGGGGATCCATTTATTTAAAAATTGTGTATAAATGAAACTGTGTAACTAATTAATTAATTAATTAACTCGTTCTGTAGAGCACTCAATCAGCTTCAGGTGTGAGATGTGTAATGAGATTCCAACAACTTGTGTTTCTACAGAAGTAGAGATTACAGATTGTCCTGTGATATCATGGTTTTGTCCTAAGACCCAGACTGATCAGCTCAACATGATAGGCCTCCTGTATGTTGTTCAGTGTGGTGACCTCTACCCTGTCAAACCTGGGACCTCTGGCATAGGAGCTAAATTCTCCTTATCCATGCAGGCTTTAATCTCCCTGGGAGTCATGCGACAAATTAGTCATTCTTTTCGAAGCTGTCCCATTAAAAATTGGGAAATTAAACATACTATATATCAGGAATGATAATTTGGAATGTAATTGTATCACTGTCCATATGGTGTATTGATACATATATGATTATATACATATGGTAAAAATGTAAGCGTTAATATGTACTTTTTGTAATAATGTATGTTTTTTAATTTTATATATGCATTTTTACTCTATATATATATCATATAACTGTATGTTATTAAATATGTAACATACAACACAAATATTAACTGTTTACAGGTGTCACATACAACATCCCTGTATGTATTTGGATCTTGGACACACATCCCTACAATCCTCCCATGGTCTTCGTCAAGCCCACAAGCAGTATGCAGATCAAGCAGGGAAGAAACGTAGATGCCAATGGAAAAGTGGATCTACCCTACCTCCGGGACTGGAGATATGTAAGGCTTTAGGCACAGACCAAATTAACACTTCTTAATCGTTACTTTTATTGTAAGTTTCAGATCAATATGAAGTAACATTGTGATTATTAAGTAGCATGATCTGTTGGTGTCTTAAGTATTTGGGAACATTTGCAGTATTTATGCAACAAAAAGTTTGTGTTTAGGTAGAAGTCCACTCATATGTATTGCTGGTCAAAGAAATTATAAACAAATCCGTTACGATTGTCTTGTAGTGAAGTCAATTTTGATTGGATTTTTACATGTTGATATAATTATCAATTTAATTTGTCAATCTTCTTTTGTTTAGCCACAGTCAGACCTGCTCGGGTTGATACAGATACTTGTGATTGTGTTCAGCGATGATCCGCCTGTATTTTCACGGGTACAGACTCAAAGGACCCAACCGTATCCTCAGACACAGCAATCTAATCTGCCATACCCTTCACAAGGTATACCACAGAATGTGTGGACATAACAGTTGATATTCCATTTGTATAATAGTTTGTCTAAAAATTATCTGAAACTTTAATATAAAAAAAGAAAAGTTTTATTGAAATAGAAAAATAAATCTGAAGTGATGTAAGCCCAAAGTTCTTAGTTAAAATCACTTGTATGATAAATAACTAGTTTCTATTTATAGATTCTAGTTACAGTTAACATGATATTGCTGTAATGAGGAGCTTAACACCATTATTTTACACAAACTATGAGAAGTGCTCAAGTTACTATTTACATATAATGGAAATACTTTGGTTCAAAAGAAAAATCCATCTTTTCATAGCATGAAAAACAAAAAGTTTGAGCGTCTCTGATAATGTAAGGGAGATAACTCAACAAAATTTGTTGTCAGTGAGTGTAATTTTCTGTTATCTGAGGATAGCTATAGAAATTATGTTTAAATGTTGTGAAATGATTAAATCATCGGTTCAATTCAGTTCTCTTTGTAGTTATCAGTGATTATTTAATTATTGCATTTTGTATTAAATGTACTAGCTCTCTACATGATTTTTAACATTTCAGTCCATTTGAGAATTGCCCTTTTCCTTTATCAGCTATAAAATTAAACATTGTTTATAATTCTAGGGGGCTTCCAGATGCCAACCCCTGGGGGAACTGGCTCGAACCCTCCAGCATATACACCCTATCCTTCTGGTGGATATAACCAGTCAGGGAGTGGGTCCAACTTCAATTATGGTGGCAATTTCCAACAGCAACCCCAAGGATTTCAGGGCTATCCACAGAACACTGGAGGGTATCCCCAAAGTGGTCAACAACAGTATCCCTCTCAGACTCCATACCCAAGCTATCCTTCTCAGTCACAATACTCCACATCTACAGCCAGCACAGGTAATAGTGGTCAGTGTATCCCTCTCAGACTCCATACCCAAGCCATCCTTCCTCAGTCACAATATCCCACATCTACAGCCAGCACAGGTAATAGTGGTCAGTGTATCCCTCTCAGACTCCGTACCCAAGCCATCCTTCCTCAGTCACAGTACTCCACATCTACAGCCAGCACAGGTAATAGTGGTCAGTGTATCCCTCTCAGACTCAATACCCAAGCTATCTTTCTCAGTCACGATATCCCACATCTACAGCCAGCACAGGTAATAGTGGTCAGTGTATCCCTCTCAGACTCCGTACCCAAGCTATCTTCCTCAGTCACAGTATCCCACATCTACAGCCAGCACAGGTAATAGTGGTCAGTGTATCCCTCTCAGACTCCGTACCCAAGCCATCCTTCCTCAGTCACAGTATCCCACATCTACAGCCAGCACAGGTAATAGTGGTCAGTGTATCCCTCTCAGACTCTGTACCCAAGCCATCTTCCTCAGTCACAGTATCCCACATCTACAGCCAGCACAGGTAATACTAATCTTTGTAGTAAGATACAGAAAAAATATAGAAATTTAATGTATATTGCATATAAGACTAAGTCCAAACACCTGTGAATTTTCATGTTGTATTTCGACTTCTATGATACTATGTCAGACATTTTTGACCTTGAAGCTATGTATGTCCTTGAATAAGACATCTATAATTTTGTTCTACATGTCTGCAACTTTTATACATAATTTGTCAGATGTCATTGGTGTTCATTGTAGTACCTGAAATCTGATTTCTATGATCCTCAGTCTAAGTAATCTTTTGTCTGATATATTTGACTCTTACCACTGGAATCTCCCCTGACCTTGAGTTTGTATTTTTACGACATTCTCCTCATAAGCCTGTAATTGATTGTAACAACAGTGACCAGTTCTGGCCAAGGAGGGCCTGGTAGTACCAACACAGTAACTGAAGAACACTTAAGGATGTCGCTACTGTCAGCTGTCGAGGATAAAATGAAACGGAGACTGAGGGAAATATTTGAACAAGCACAGGTATGTAATCATGGCAACTAGTGTACTTATTCAAGATATACATCATTCTTGTTTAAATGGCATTCAGCAGGGCCATTATAGCTTAGTTTGTTGAAGTGTTGAACTCAATGAATTCAACTGAAGATCTGAGTTGCATAAATTTCTGCTTCTTATCAACAGCGGTTTTTGTTTCTCAGGAAGTTGGGAAAAGGAAAACTCTGTGACATCATGGTTGTATCCTTGGGCAAGGCCCAAATAGTTGTTGGTTGCATACAATGGGCCTCCTGTATGGTGTTCAGTGAAGTAGCCACCGCTTACAATGAAACTCTGCCACAAAAAGGACTCTGGCTGTTCATTTGGTGATAAGCCCAGCAAACAAATGTCTGAAATCAATAACCAGTTAGGAAAACACTTGTTTTTTTAAAGTGACATGTGTTTTTGACATTTATTTGAAATTACTCAATATAAAATATTTATCAGATTAATTGAATTATGGTTAAAATCAATCGTCCTTATTAAATTCTCTTCTTGTTCTAAGAGATTCACTTCTGTTTCTATGTTTGAACTCCTTATGCAGGCTGAAATGAATGTTCTGCACAAAACACAGACAGATCTTCTTCAAGGACGAGAAAAATTAGACAAGATGATGAAAGATCTTGACACAGAAAAGGTATGCTTAATTATTTTTATTTTTTCATTGGTTTAAGGAAATCCTCTCACAGCTTTGATAAATAAAAGTTTGTGTTGGATCTTTGAAGGGTATTTTGGGATAAAAAAATTTTGATAAAAAGTCACTCAGTATTGTATTTGCTTTAATACTGTTTTAAAATGATTTAAATGTTTTGAATTTTACTTCAGACTGTTTTTAGAGCAAAGAGATACAATGGTTGCTGATTTTTTAATATGTTTCCCTCCTCATCTAATGGATGAAATCTTTATTTCTTTTTATATCTGATCTAACTATGGAAAACCTTGGAAAAAGTCTCTGAAGACTTCACAAATCTAAGTTTAAGATAAGATAAGTTAATTATAGTGCAGGACTTTATCAAAGTCCTTTATACCAGACTCCTACATAACAAATCATAAATAAGTTTTCAACACATCTATCAGGTCTTGTACTTTAATGTCAATATTTGATTGTTGCTTTGTAATTAAAGAAAAGTTCTCAGTTTTTCCAGTCATTATCAAGCCTATTTTTATATAAATATATATTACAGCTGAAACAACATTTTCTGGCAAACTTTTCCAAATTGAGTTCTGATTGAAAAATAGTTTTTCCTGAGAATATTTATGGGTTGTTTTGGGAATATTTTTTTTTCATATGACCTAGGAGTTTCCCAGCAGTCAAATTAATTGAAAATGAAATGATGTTGATGTTGATGTTGTTTCACTAAAATGAATATAAAAAAAATATGACAAGAAAAAACAATAATTTTAATTACTGTTTTTTGTAATAATTTTTAGAATGATATTCAAATACTGAAGAAGTAAGAGGGTTGAGTTTTATTTGATTTATTTCAAATTCCTGATAATCATTGATGTTGCAGGTATATATTGAGAACAACATCCAGATGTTAAAGGAGAAGGATCGGGAGGTAAAGGACGCTCTAGAGAAGATGAGTAAAGAAGATTCACTGGACATTGATGATGCCGTGGTCACCACAATGCCTCTCTATAAACAGTCAGTATTTTCTTCACTTTCTATTGATATTGTTAATGAAGAGATGATACCATTTGTGATATATTCATATCATATACTTTAGTGTAGGGCTATAGAAGTAAAATGTCTACTTAATTCCATGGATGATGCCTCTGAACAAAATCTGGAGTCCTGGGTGAGATAGATGTTTTACTGGAGTTCTGGGTGAGATAGATGTTTTACTGGAGTCCTGGGTGAGATAGATGTTTTACTGGAGTCCTGGGTGAGATAGATGTTTTACTGGAGTCCTGGGTGAGATAGATGTTTTTCTGGAGTCCTGGGTGAGATAGATGTTTTTCTGGAGTCCTGGGTGAGATAGATGTTTTACTGGAGTCCTGGGTGAGATAGAAGTTTTACTGGAGTCCTGGGTGAGATAGAAGTTTTACTGGAGTCCTGGGTGAGATAGATGTTTTTCTGGAGTCCTGGGTGAGATAGATGTTTTTCTGGAGTCCTGGGTGAGATAGATGTTTTACTGGAGTCCTGAGTGAGATAGAAGTTTTACTGGAGTCCTGGGTGAGATAGAAGTTTTACTGGAGTCCTGGGTGAGATAGAAGTTTTACTGGAGTTCTGGGTGAGATAGATGTTTTACTGGAGTCCTAGGTGAGATAGATACTTTACTGGAGTCCTGGGTGAGATAGATGTTTCACTGAGTCCTTGGTGAGATAGATGTTTTACTGGAGTCCTGGGTGAGATAGAAGTTTTACTGGAGTCCTGGGTGAGATAGAAGTTTTACTGGAGTCCTGGGTGAGATAGATGTTTTACTGGAGTACTGGGTGAGATAGATGTTTTACTGGAGTCCCGGGTGAGATAGATGTTTTACTGGAGTCCTGGGTGAGATAGAAGTTTTACTGGAGTTCTGGGTGAGATAGATGTTTTACTGGAGTCCTAGGTGAGATAGATGCTTTACTGGAGTCCTGGGTGAGATAGATGTTTCACTGAGTCCTTGGTGAGATAGATGTTTTACTGGAGTACTGGGTGAGATAGATGTTTCACTGGAGTCCTGGGTGAGATAGAAGTATTACTGGATTTCTGGGTGAGGTAGATGTTTTACTGGAGTCCTAGGTGAGATAGATGTTTTACTGGAGTCCTGGGTGAGATAGATGTTTTACTGGAATTCTGTTATCTGTATTTGTGTTGCTATGTCATTTATTAGCGAGGATAACTTCAAATCAGCTTAAATTTCTCACACAAACTTGTAATGAACCAAATCAAGAGCAGATAACTCTCTATGAAGAAAATGAGGAACAGCCCTATGCTTTTAAGTTGAGAAGCTGTTAGTATGTAACCAGGGCAAACTTTCTATATATTACCCTTTCTATCTGTGTCTTCAGATTAGTGAACTCCTTCGCAGAGGAACAAGCTATTGAGGATGCTTTGTTTTACCTGGGAGATGCTCTACGGAAAGATGTCATCGATATAGATGTGTTCCTCAAGGTAAGGACTTGCATATACATTTTTTACTTTAATTTTTGTATTTTAATATTGGTTATTGTTTCATGAAATACCAAAAGTTTGAAAATCTTTTAAACATTTCAAGAACTGAGAATACTCTTTAAGGAATTTCCATGAGCTTTCTGTTAACTCTATGGTATGGGTTTGAATTTAAGTAACTCTGTTTAATATTTTTATGTTCACAGCAAGTACGGGAGCTTTCCAGAAGACAGTTCATGTTGCGAGCATTAATTACAAAATGTCGCAGCAAAGCAGGATTACCTCCCTTGGCCTGAAATGCTTGTATATGAACTTTGTTGAAACTTTTCCAACAACAAGGATTTACAGTGTCATCGTCAAAGCATTGTGAATCGCAGTGATCATGGTGAATAGATTTACTGATTTGTAACTGTTAGAAAAAAAAATTTACATTGTGGAAAATATTTTGGTATTTTTTTTCATGAAACTTTTGCCACTATTGCCCAACTGTCATTAAGACAAGAATAAGCAATGGGCGTCAGTTTGATGTTGAAGCAGAAATATTTGTTTCATGAATTAATGGGCGAATTTAAAGCAGAGCAAAAATAAATGATTTTCTTCAAGGGCTAGAGAACTTCTTGGCAAACGTTCCCTTGTATATATGCTAACAGTACATATTCATTTGAAAGTCTGAGTTTATTTGAAATATGTTTATTTTAAATTTGTTTTAAATTTCCTTTAAAATAATTAAATATCATCTTATTTACAAATATATATTTAGGACATTTGGTATAGTTGATATAAATAATGGTGATTTAGGATAAATTGAAAAATGTGAAGATGGCTCCTTTTCTGATCAGAAAGCAGAAGTGAAAGAGAGATATGATTGGTGGGACAAAGATGATGAAGAAACAGTCAGTGTCAACCAAGGCTGAAAAGTTTTTACGTTTTTTCTTAAATGACAGAAACTTTCACCATTTTTCTAATGAAGGATATAACATTTTCGATGAGATGGCAAGAATATTTCTTGTCGATATTCATTTTTCTGACAACATATATCTAGCATCATGGTAATTGATTATTCATATGATATAGAGAAGAAGATGTGCAAATAGATTCTCAAGGAATTGAACGGGGGTTTACTTGAATTTCTTTCTTTTCTGCTTTCGGATTTTATTTTTCGGATACTTGAAATTTTAAAAAAGTGTTATTTATTACAGACTATTGGTATGCATGGTAAAAGTGTTATATATGTGTTCATAATTTCTTCGTTTTTCTTTCATTTCGATGCCACAAGCTTATCTCAAAAGTTTGATTTAAAACATGACATACAATGAAAATAAATATTCCTTCTACAATTGTGATTTTTTTTTGACATGTTTGACTCGTAATAACAGCACTTTGTATTCTTACTCAATTTGTAAACCTCGTCCAACAACCATAATTGTTTATTAACATATTTAAAACAGTCTACAGACTCTGACAAATGTAAATGTTTGTTTTTGTCACTTACTTTACATTTCCATCCTAAACTCTGGTAATAAGCACTCTCACATCTCTATGATTGTTAAATAGAAATAATAACAGATGCTATTTCAGTGTCCTGGTATAAGCCCACCCCTAACTTTGAATTGGAGATAATATGTCGGCTCCCTGGGGTCCTGTAATAAGACCACATCCTGAATTTTACTCAAAGGCTATGTGTTTTCCATCATGGTTACTGCAGGATAAAAATGGTAATGTTCATTTCATGCCCTGAAGACATCCAGCTTGATCACTACCAAGATGAAGTTTTGCATTGTGAGATCCAATGTAAGAGAATTTAGTTTCTGGGATTGACCAAACTCATCCTATGATGATAGTCAAATATTTTTTTGTCATTTCAGTATTCCTGCATCTTTCTTCTTTCTCAAGTGTTTTTGTTTGATAAAAAATTTTCTATTCATTATTTTTATTCCCCTGTAGAAAATGTGTAATAAATATTTGTTACCTGTGTGTTGACCACCATTGCAATATATGTTAATATGAAGGGGAGGATGAAGTCGAACGCTTTCATTATCAATAAAGAAAATACTTTTTACATCCTTTTTTTTAACAAGCTCTAATCCAGAAATGCTCTGTTTCAGCTTTATTTGCAAATTCAACTGTTTAGCTATCATGATGAAGAGCTTCATTTGAAACCCAGGATAATAGCATAACATTACAGTTGAAATTACCCTTCATTAATGAAAAATTGTTTCACCAATATTCTGAATCAATGGTGTTGAGTTATTATTATGACAATAGTATGATAGTGGTCTGTGATATGGTAGAGGTGTAGTAATGTGGGAAGTGTGTTGTTTCGGAATGTCGACGGAGCTTAAATTCGGGAGGAAGCACATGTAGGGCGCTTTTGCATAAACAGTTGAAACAATTGGACTTGTTGAACCTACAAGAAAAACGTCAGGTACAGATCAGGACCGAGGCTGAACTCTGATATATTATGCACATGCAGTTTGAGATGTACTTGTCTTGAAACTAATTTGCTGAATATCATTAGTATTCAGGATTTCAGCATAAAAAGTAGGACCGGTGCACTCACATAATTCTGGGAACATTGTGCTAAAATGCATTAGTGAAATGGATGGTATCTTATTTTGTCATTTTGTGTACCTTAACATATATCAGATTCAACATTCGGTACAAGTGTGTTCGTGTTTAGTGGAATATTTCCAGACCACCTGAACTGTTTCAACCGGGTTACACAAATGCAGCCATAGTGATTTTTAACACAAACTTTACTAATCTATGAAAGTAGAAATTATTGTAAAGAAAACAATTATGATTCTTTATCTAATGATTACACAGAATTGCTTATGAAGATGAAATGATGTAAGAGATATTGGATCTTTAATTAAATTTTGATTTATTTATAATCAAGTTTTATTTGATTAAAAACAAGGAAAAAATGCTATACAACATTGTACAAATTACTATTTGTAAATAATTCTTTTCACAAATGATTTTGATGATTATATCCAATTCAATTTTTCTGATATTTTCATTTTTTTTTTTTATTTTGTTTGTCAAAATTATTTTTTGTGGTTGGTTTTGACTTTTTTTTATACCAATCTGGAATACTCCAGACCAATAAAAAAAAGAAATTGATAGAACATCAGAATGATTTAGTGTTTGAGTTTGTGTGATGACCTTTTAGTGGCCACATGAGAATTTGAAAAGGAATTGTCCTAGCTCAGTTAATGATATACAGTAAATATGCAAAGTAGAGCTGTACGGTTTAAAACATCTTTTCCTCAATGGGGGAAATTTGTCTCGGAACGGAATATACATGGATATCATTTGCAGTGTGTTGTAATCTTAGATTAAAGGAATTTGAAAAAATTTATTAGAAGTTTTGAATTTTTTAATCAGATTAAATTTTTGATCAGTTCTGTCAAGAAGTGATTGGTGTGTGTTATGGTCAACTGCTTAAAAAAGTGATGTTATTGTTTTTCCTAAATTTTGTTACATTTTGTTACTCAATGGATTTCAATCTGTAAATTTTTTGTTGTATATTTCTGTAAAGTTCATGCACCGTATGATTCACTAATTTGACAGCTTTGACTTAAAATGCAAATAAAATGAAAAACAAAGAAATATTTTTTGGGTTTATGTGAAGTTTTGATATTTAAATAATTTGTGTAAGATGAAACTGATTTTGAAATATAAGATGTGTTTTTTACAGAAAGATTAGATTCATTAAGTGCTTTTGCCAAGTTCTTGATATTTGGAAAAATAAAATGGTTCTTCGCCAAACCAATTAAATAAGTTGAAATAAATCTTAAGGTGTATTTTCTATGAAACTCATTCCTCTACAATATCACATTTTTGTAGAAGAAACAATAGTGATGTTGTCAATTACATTTAGTTCTCAACTAATTCTTAATTTTTGTCAATCATGGAAAATTATTTTTTCATATTGATTGCAAGTGGAATGCTTATGTATGATATTGTATTATTCAGCTTATAAAATATCATCAAAAGGAAATGGATTTTTGGAGTTTATTTTTAAAGACTGCGACCATCCAAATGGTAGGCTTCTAAAAGGATATTGGACAGTTGCACTATCTGTCATTCTTCGGTTGATCAATACATCCATCTTTCTGTCTTTCCTCACTTTATCTGGGTTGTTATCTCCTGTACTGCTTGTCACTGGAACTTCCAAATAAAGGGTTCATTTAAATGAGGAAGTATGCCATGTACCATAATAAGGTCTCTGCGACCTAAATTTTGACTTGCATCAAAGAAAAAAGTTTGGAAAATCCTGTGCTACTAGTGACTGGAATTTGGTACTTGCAGAATGGGTCAACCAAAGTGAGGCAACATGTCATGAACAAATGGTAGATAGACCTACACCATCACCTCCATATTCAGCACACTTGTCACCGAAACTCATACCTCGGGTTTTTATTTATCTATTTGAGGGTTGTCTTGTGTAAGATTCAAATCTACTTGACTTTTTAAAAAAAAATCGACCTAAACTAGGAATTTGTGCATCCTCGATACTCCAGGTGTTATGTTCATTTTTGTTCTCTGAACCCCTTAAACTTGTCATGGCAAAATTGAATGTTCAAACGTTAAGTTGAGTTTCGCTCCTTTGTAATCTTCAGAAGGAACGTATCAGCCTGTGATTGGTCAGTTTTTATTCTGCAGGAACCAATCAAATTAGTTTGTACTTTGAATTTTGCCATGACACGTTCTAAAGGTGCAGAGATCGAAAGTGATTGTAACCCCTGGAGTATCGAGAATTTGTGATACTATCGATAGAAAATATTGATACTGCCTCGTTGAATCAGTGATATCAATGATTTGTTTGAGCAGTAAAACCGAATACAATTAAGTGATGAAATACTGTGGAATACGTGTTGTCACCTGATTTGATTTCATATTGGCATAAATCTACCTTCTTCATTCAGTGTATAGACTTACTTCCCTTGACGTACAATTCCTCATGAGTTCGGAGACTGTTGTAAATTCGTCGGATTGTCTTGTTTGGATATAAACATCGCCATCGCGACTCGAGGTTTTTTTATTCAACGTTCGTTCCCAGATTATACATTTTTCCCCAAATAGATGTAACTCTAGACAAATCCTGCTCGGAGTGTGTCCAATATGGAGTAAAGATGTAGAAGATAAATTATCTGTTGAGAATTAAAATAACCAAATGTGTTACGATGTGTAACGATAAGCACACTTGGGATTTGACATGAATACCCAACCCACGGACAGGACACTACATATGTATTGTATAGTCGCCATATGATACATATCTTTACTCCGTGGTCCGTGTAGCCATAATCACGAATGGTTTCATACTCCCGTCCTCGCCCCACACGTGAGGTGTACATGGAGAACTGACTTTCCAGAATCCTGTTACATTTTCGTCACAGTGTCGAGACTTATAAAAGGCAAACACATTTTCGTAATAACATTGATATTTGTATAGTTTTATCAAATGTATTTCGTGGTTCAAACACGGAAATGACCTTACCAAGGGGACACAGAAACCGTGTTAACCTTGATCAGTTTCCCCATAACAAATGAATTAGCAGTTTTGATCCTTGAACGCAACCTTGACCTTTTTTCACGTGACTTTGACCTCTTCGTGTGAACTTGACCTCTTCACGTGACCTTATTTAAAGTATACCTTTGATTCAGAAGAAGTTCCGAGCACACAGCAGCTCTTTGCGTTTTGGAAAAGTTTACAATAATTCCAACCTAGTTCCTGTCCAAAGCATTTGGCAATATCCCCGAGTATATATAATAACACCTAAAATATTCAAAGAAACCAGTTCAAATGATAAAACAACGGAACATCCGATGATGAACAAACTTTATTGTGAGGCCGATAAAACATATCGCTGTCTCGTGTAGGATTTTGATTACAAGTACTGTAGTATCAAATATTTTCATGAGGTTTAATTTTCGTGTACATATGAATCTATGAATCGAGAAAACCCACGAAAATAAATTCTCCGCGAAAATGAATGATATTACAGTATAAATAGCCTAGATAAAAAATACATTACCGGTGTTATCAAGATATTTTGTACTGTATAGAAAAATATTAAAGTGTTTATTTCCTCTTGATAAATACCAAATTAAGGATACGGTTAAAAAGTATATCTAGATAAGTATATTTTTTAAATGATGCAATAATTGTTCTCCCGAACAGAATCACGAAGGTCTTTATCTCAGTAGAAGTCGGAATATGAAGGACGAGGATAAATTTTAAAATATATGCAATAGCAGTGATATTTTGTTCAGTTCTTGACAAATATCAATTTCATTAATTGACTAAATTGTCTTTTTTAATTTACATAAGTACCGGTTGTAAAAGACATTAGTTTTCGGAATTCGTTCGGTTAGAGGATTAATTTGTACGTAGCTACTTAAGATGCAGCATTAAGTCAACCCTCCTCACGTAACCACTAATTCGTCAGGTGCTTCAACAATAGGTTTTGAGGGAATAAGAAACCTGTCCACTTTTTCTCTCAATCGTTCATATTTGTGCAATTCAAACGCAACTCTTTTGCGCATGACCAGTTCATCCTCGCCTATAAACATTTTAGTGTCCGGACTTTCGGACCGACGGACACCAAGGACACTTAGACTGGACATACTTCTTGTCATCCGTGGCAGATTGGCCATACTCTGTGTTCTTTTCAGACCGGGAAGTACTGCAGAATGTCTATCATTGGGCGGAAGTGCACTTTCGCGACTTCCGGTCTCGGCGTCGTTAACCTTGTGTTGCTCTTTTGTCGGTAACTCGTATGCTGAATGCCGTCTCATAGGCCTATCAAGGGGAGGCAGTGGCCCTCGACGTCTTTTTTCCATTTTTCTCTTTAGTAAAACACACGCACCATCTGTATATTGATCTAAATCATGTTCTTTATCGTATATTTCTTTAAACATTTTTGCCAAAGAAACAGTTGGTCGTGTAAATTCTAGCTTCTTGTTAATTGCCATGTTATGTCGGAGTGTTTTCACAGTTCGTGCTAATTTTGTGATTCTATGAAGGTCAGGCTCGTAGTCTTGGATAGAAATAATCTTTGATTGTGTTTTTGTGTGGTCCGTTCTGTATCTCGTGCCAGATTTCGGTTTGTTTTTATCGTCCTTTGCCGACAGTGTCAAAAGGATAGTTGGAATAACTTCGGACATCCTCTTATACTCTCCAAGGAGGTACGCGTTCGGTCCGTCCTCGTCCTGAGGTGATCGAGGGTCAGAGGTCACCGAAAGTCGTGTCTGTTTCCTTGATGGCAGAGGAGGGCGTGACGTCATGTTTTCTTGCCTTGCAAGGGCATTGTCAATAGGGATTTGCTTTTTTTTGGAATCTCGGAGTTCATCCCGAACTTTGATCCGTTCCCGATCTAGCTCGATTTCCCGAAGTCTAGACCGGAGGTGTATCCTTGCCAACCGATCCTCCAGGGATTGATCTTCCTTATGGTTTATAAATAACATCTTTTCTAGATACTTTGGGGGTCGCATTTTCTTTTGCGCGGGCATTGTTTCACACGACACTTAACTGGATAAAATTAATCTTGTTTGTAAAAGAATTTGCAAAATGTGTCACAAACTGCAAAAAGTATAATCACTTCCATTCACAAAACGTCATCTGTTGATGTTCAATACTTCCAGTTCTTTCCTAAAATAGCACATGATCTGAATCCCAAACAAACAGGAAGTACATGTCACGTGGAAGGCAATTTGACCTGAAGAAAAAGACAGAAACCATTTAAACTAAAATAGTAGACTTCATCGATTTGATGGGAATGTACCTTTTTATCAAACTTAATAATACAATGTCGTTGGATTAATGCCAATCAATGGTTTGGGATAATAGTTTGTGTTAGTGTATAGATTGGACTTTGTGTATATCTTTTCAATGTTCTATGGTTTAAAAACATAAAGAAATTCAATATTTTTATTAACTTACACTTTTTTTTTAATTAATAACGATATTTTGATATAAACATTGGATGATAAAATATCACAGAATCGAATACGGGTGTCGTCGATGAAGCAGAAGACGTTAACTGTTCTGAAACACGTGGTCCTATTTCCGTAATATTTCTTTGTTCATATTTGCCATAGTTATAATTAAATTTGTGCTTGAATGAAGATTCTGTTGAAATATTGGTATTTTCTTTGTTGTTTTGTTTTAGTTCAGATGCCGGCCACACTGGCTTAATTTGGTGTTATAGATATTAATACTGCCATTATTTGAGATAGACTAGGCATGGTGTTACTAAAACTCCCATTTTCATACACGCGAAAACCGAATTCGGCAACAAGAGTTTAATCCAATATATATCATAACGATAAGTTTATATCAGATGTCTTTATCCGATCATTTTTTATTGAATTGTGTGACGTCATTTATCTATGACGTCACATGACATGTTCCATACAAAGATTGTTACCATAATCATTATTTCCACAAATCAGGTAAAATAACATTAAGGTAAATGATTTATTTCGTCACAGATAGTTCCAACACATCCGTGTGATTTAGATCGTTTCAGATAAATCTAGAGGGTCGGGCTTTTTCCTTAGAACTACGGTAATTGATACCAAGACGAACATAAATTTTGTATCCGTCCGATGTCGAAAGGATAAAATTGTTATGTCAGAATGTCGACAAAGTGGTATTATTATCTTCCGAAACGATAAGCCAATGTAAACAGAAAGCCAGACGGGAAAGGACAGACGCCCTTTTCAGTAATCGTCATACGATGTTTAAATAGCATGGCCCGTTCGTTTTGTGACATGTATACATATATATATTGATTTTTTTTATTGAATTTTCTTTTTTGTTATTTAACAAAAAGCTAAATTTGTCCAATTAAGCTTCTTCAACATAATGTTATCTTTAACTTGGATCTGTCTCGGGAGCGAAAATAAGTGAAAGTAGGTCTCTATGAATTTGCTCTAAACTTACTATTTCTTATATCGAACTTTTTGTCTGTCCGGAATAAAGAGGTAATTTCTTGACATCGACTTCATTTAAATCCGATTTTAACAAAGTAAGATTTTAAACACTGAGTCTACATCAGACTTATTTCATGTTGATTTGTTCTCCTGTTGAAAATTAAACTTATCGCTTGTTCGTTTCGCCGCACGCATGATTTGGCCTGGATTTGTTAAACTTGAGTCAATATTGAATGACTTATTCAAAGATTTCGAGAGAGTAATCAAACGTGACAACAAAATATGTCGAGGGATTGTAAAATAAAGATTTAGTTAATTTTATGACATAAAATGGATATTTATTTATTTCACTCAACTTTTTAATTGGCCCTGTTATATATTACAATACGGGATATATTGAAACAGCAACAGTAAATTGTGTTTAAGTGGCAGAGAAACAAATCTGAAGTGTCACGCAATTTGTGAAAAAAATTTAAGATAAGCATTGATGAATCGCTATTTGTTTTCAACTTCAAATGGTGACTTTCAATCTTGGGGCCATGACATAAGATAAGGTCTTGTTGATTTTTTAAAAATATAAATTATTGATTTTGGGCGTGTATTGAATACATGATTGTGAAAATAAACAAATGTTATTTGTAAGTAAATTAGTTCATATTTAAGTTGTCAAATTAAAGGTTTCATTTAAATATTTTTAAATTAATGTGATAATGTCATTCACATATGTAGAATTTCGAATGAATGTATAACAATTTTATCTCGACTTTTGTAAAGCTGATTGTAAATACTATCTGTAATTTGTCTGGCCGTGTTTATTTTGGCGCAATGTCGAAGATTACAATTCAGGAATGATAACTCACGTAAGCCTACTGGAAATTTTTTTTTACAACTCCGATATACAACTTTTGTAAGCTTATAAATTTAAGATTAGGTACCGCATAATAATACCACATAATCAAATCATAATTTGGATTTTTTTTTAAATTAAATACAAATGTTTTTTAAATGAAGAATAAAAATTATCTAGATGAATGAAGACCATAAACTTAAAAAATACGTTAAAGATGTGTATATTTCAATCGGAAATATATCTTATATAATTTAGACAACGATTTGAATGTGATAATCTTTTATCAGTTTCCCGAAACACATATTCGTTGTAACAATAATTTTGATTTCCAATCGCTTGTTTTCCAAAATCTTACCCTTATAACGAGCATTTAGATTCCATGTACCCAGTTTCACAAAACACAGATTTCATATATCAAGCTTTTATATTCGTTATAGCAGTTTACCAAAACACAGACTCGGTACAACAAAAATTTAGATTCGTTATAGACAGTTTCCCAAAACACGTATTCGTTATAACAAGCATTTAGATTCGTTATAGGCAGTTTCCCAAAACACGTATTCGTTATAACAAGCATTTAGATTCGTTATAGGCAGTTTCCCAAAACACGTATTCGTTATAACAAGCATTTAGATTCGTTATAGGCAATTTCCCAAAACACGTATTCGTTATAACAAGCATTTAGATTCGTTATAGCTAGTTTCCCAAAACACGTATTCGTTTTTACAAATTCAGATTTCCTATAGCTAGTTTCCGAAACACAGATTCGTTATAATAAACATTTAGATTCCCTATAGCAAGTTTCTTAAAGCACATTTTTCAACTTACTCAGTTTCCCAACTTGGGACTCATCTACTGTTTCCATGTCTTGTTTCCATAGAGATGGATCTGTTGTATCCACGATTTTAGGGTAACTGATATGATAAAGCCAGTTTTTCACTCGAAATGGATTCGTCATGGCAAAGTTGTGGGCATAACACAAATCATATTGCTTACACTGGTATCCGAATTACACAGCTAATTGTTGAAAATATCGGCGGTATTAGGACAATGATACCTTATGTATGTGAATCCAGATATCGCCAATACATGTGCTATGCAGAGCCGAAAGGATTTAAACAATTTATTTTTTCAAATTATAGAACGAAAATAAATCTATTAAACGTGTTTTGTAAAATTCATCGTTTTTTCGTTGTTTTTACTTTATCCCGAGACACTACGACTTCCCATGAAATGGTTTTCATGCTGTTTTAAATGTTTGTAATCAAACCTGTTCTTGGCAGCAGAAAAATACATTTATCGTTTTAGATCGCTGATGCAGTTCAAAATGTCGAAGTCTTGTTTCGACATGGAGAGAATTTCTGTATATGTATTTGTTATCCACTGAATCAGACAATTTCACATCTTTTATGGAGACTCAAATAAAATTATCATTTTATCTTTATTTATTTATTTGTGAAATTACACAAGTAGAGATAAATCAAACATTAATAAAATTCCATGTACCTTTAGGGAAAAAAACTCGGGATATGCTACGTATTTATATATGAAATTACAAAAAAATATTAAACTTTAATTCGAAATTTAAAATCACATTGAAACAAAAAAAAATCAAATATATCTGCATTAGTTTAAAATGTATCTGAATTATCATAAGATTTCTTACCGCTTGGATACCAGTGTCTCCTCTCGTTCTAACTGTCCAGTACAAATACTGCTGTCCAACTGCTAGTGGGACTGTGTGTTTACATAAATATATATGTACTGATATACTGGGTCTTTAAGTCTATCGGGTTTCCTGATATCGCCGTATCATTTCTTTACACAGCGAGCCATACATTTAACACAATCGAACTTTGAAATTCACTTTGAAATGTGAGAAATTTAACTTGTATTGAACATACTAAACGATGTTGTTTTTAATTTGAAGAGCAAATATTTTAAATCACATCCATTAAATGGACAGATTTGTTGACGTGTTTTCGTTTCAAGCCATTTTACCTGAGATTGGTAAAATACACAGGTAGGTCGGTGCATGTACATGTACAGCCACTCTCCTACAAATATACCCGAACAGTTTAATTTTCAATAAATTTCCCAAAGTACATAAATTTAGCCCTCTCGATAGGCGGAGTCCAGTTAATAACAAACATAGGAACATTCTGCATTATACTATACTGAAACCAAACATTTCGATCGGAGTAGAGAGGTGCTCAAATTACATATGTTTAAAATACAGATTTTCTTCCTTTTTAGAATGTCAGAAATTTCAGTTAATTAGGTAATACTATATATTTGATAACTAAATATTATGAAGAGGATTTGTGTATATACCTTAAATATGAAATTTTATCACATAATCCGCCTGCCATCCAGTAAGATTTCCTCTATGTAATATGTTTACATTTGCCAATAGTGTATTGTACCCTCGAGTGTTTTTCATTGGCTGCGATAGTCAGAAAGCGATTGTGACGTCATAATACGGACAATGACGTTTAGTCATAAATTGAAAATGACAGAACAAAATGGCTTTCTTCGTTTGATGTTGTCCTCCACAATTTTAAGTTAAACCTATAAAAAATCTTTTTCCGAGTTATTTGATAGAAAGTATCTTAAATTTCTTCTCGTTTAATGTGAAATTTCATGAAACTCGTCTCGAAGTTTTCATCTTGGCTTTCCAATGCTAGGAAAAATAGAAATCTTGAAGACTTGTTTCGTAAAATTT